TTTTATACATAATAAAAGCACTTTAAGAGGGGGTGTTGTTATGTAAAGTACTTTTTAAATATTAATTGCCTGGCAACTCTGGCCTGTCATTATTCTATATTCCTTTTGTAATTATTATTCATTATTCATTTTTAGTATAGTTAATAAAGCGAAGTAAAGAACATGTTAAAAATACATCGGACCGTGTTTCACTTTTGCTAAAAATATATAATAGGTTATGGGCCCAGCACGCTTCCACTGCGAAGTAAAAAGCACGTGCACATAAAAAGTAGATTTAATACGTGTATAAAAATGTCGGGAACGGTGATTCGAGTTGAACCGCTTAACGCGGAAAACTACGATACATGGAAATTACAAATGAAAGCTATTCTCATAAAAAACGATTTATGGTCATATGTCGAAGGTACTGCGTCGTGTCCAACGGGCGAAGGCGGCTGCAAAATGGATCAGCTTTGATCAGAAAGCGTGTGCTGATATAATGTTATCAGTAAGTGCATCAGAATTAAGATTAATTGCAGAATGCACAAATTCAAACGAAATGTGGATGAAACTACAAGCCACATATTCATCAAAAGGGCCTGCGCGCAAGGCGACGTTGCTGAAAAAGGTTGCACTTTCGCGCATGAAGGAGGGTGAAAAGGTTAGAGAGCACCTCAACGATTTTTTTGAAGCCGTGGCAAAATTAAAGGAAATTGACGTCACCATCGGGGATGAGCTTCTGGCCATACTGCTCCTATATAGCCTACCCGATTCTTTTAATACTTTCAGGTGCGCGTTAGAAACGCGCGACGAGCTGCCAAAGCCAGACATACTTCGAGTGAAAATATTAGAAGAAGCTGAATCGCAAAGGACAAAAGAAGACAGACATAGTGATGAAAACTCTCTATACATAAATCGAAATAAAAGCCGAAACGCAAAACAAAACAAACAATACAGTGATTCTAAACGAAACAAACAATGTTTTAATTGTGGCAAAATCGGACATTTTGCACGTGAATGTAAAAATAAAGCAAAAGCTGAAAATAACACGCAATTGAAAAATTCGGAAAAATCTGTAAACAATAATTTTAGCTATCATGTTGAAGATGCATTTATTAGCTCAATAAAAGAAAATTATTGGTGCCTAGATAGTGGATGTACTGCCCATTTAAGTCCAAACCGTGAATATTTTACAGACTTTCAAAAATCGAATAAAGTGCTTAACTTAGCAAACGACAACACAACAAATATAAACGGCGTCGGTAAAATGAAAATAACTGTAGACGTATACGGTCGTGATAATAACATTGATCTTAAAGAAGTTCTATATGTCGAGGACTTGCGTACAAGTCTACTTTCTGTATGAAAAATAGTAGACAGCGGATATGAAGTGCATTTTCGCCCTTCAGATGCAATCGTATTGGACAAATATCAGAAGGTTATAACTCGAGCGAAAAGATGTGGAAATCTTTTTATTGTTGAAAATAAAAATCATTTTGCACAAGTTGCTGAAGAAAAATGTGACATTGAAAAGTGGCACCAGAAAATGGGCCATATAAATGAAAACGATCTTAAAAAATTGGCTAGTAATAACCTAGTACACGGATTAAAATTAAATCCTAAACAAAAACTTCCGACTTGCGAAATTTGTATTAGTGAAAAACAAATACAAAAACCATTTCCTAAGAGTAAAGAAACTAGAACAAGTGACTTATTAGAGATCGTGCATAGTGATGTGTGCGGACCAATGAGAACAGCATCAAATTCGGATGCAAAATATTTCGTAACATTTATTGATGACAAATCACGCTATTGTCAAGTATATTTTATAAAACAAAAATCCGATGTATTAAATGTATTTAAGCAATACAAAAGAGCAGTAGAAACATTTACGGGTAAACGAATTAAGGCTTTACAATCAGACAATGGTAGAGAATACGTTAATTCTGAATTTAATTTATTCTTGAGGAAATTTGGTATACAAAGACGCTTAACTGCTCCATATACGCCGGAGCAAAATGGTATTGCTGAACGTAAAAACAGAATTCTAGTTGAAATGGCCCGTTGCATGATGAAACAAGCTGAAGTTCCGCCAAATTTTTGGGCAGAGGCCATAAATACAGCGTGCTATATTCGGAATAGGTGTCCTACAAAAGCATTGAACGGTGTAGTACCGCACAAGTTGTGGACTGGTAAAATGCCAACTATTGTACATTTTCAAGTATTTGGCTCTAAAGCATATGTCCTAAAAAAGGATAAGACTAGAGATAAATTCGATTCTAAGTCAGAACCTTACATGTTTTGTTGGATATTCAAACGAAGCAAAAGCCTATCGGCTATGGTCACCTACAAAACGAAATATAACAATAAGTCGTGATGTCGTGTTCGTAAACAAAAATATCTATCATAATAAATACGAAAACATTTATATTAACAATGAAAACGACTGCCAAACAAATGATTATATCGATATTGCGTTCGAAAATTGTGAAAATCAGAAACTGTCGGTCAATCCGAAAATTGTAGAAAATACAGATACGCGAGAAGAAAACTCCATTCGTAGGAGAGGTCGTCCGAGACTTATTCGCACAAATTCACGCGGTAGGCCTCGAAAAGAATATTACACGTCAAATCGGAATGGTGAAGAATCATCCAACGAAGACGAAAATACAAGTTCAGTAAGAAAAATTGCTGATAAAAACCATTCAGATGATGAACCTGACAACAACGTTTTTGAAGATTGTGAAATGGCGTTTCTCACTACATATCAAACTCCAGTAACGATTTTGGAGGCACTTGAAAGCGATGAAACAAATTCTTGGTCAAAAGCGCTAGAAGACGAAATGGTGGCACAACTAAAGAATAAAACATGGGAAGTTGTCGAAAGACCGAAATCACGAAAAGTTATTGGGAATAGATTCGTGCTTCGAACTAAAGATGACGGAAAACAGAAAGTACGATTAGTAGCGAAGGGTTTTGCACAACGACCAGGTGAAGACTTTCATGATACGTTTTCTCCAGTCGCTCGTTCAACATCTATAAGACTACTTGCGGCACTGGCAGCAAAAATGGATTTGGAGATCCATCAGATGGATGTCATTACAGCATATCTAAATGGAGAGCTCGAAGAGAGTGTCTTCATGGAAATTCCCGATTATCTTATACCATTCCTGAACAAAGTTGTTTCATCAAAACCAGTGGGAAAAACTTCAACAATATTGTGTGGAAAAGTTAAAGAAACAGCGCAGCATTGGTTAAAGGCGATTAAATCAAGTAAGTCACCTGTATGTTTATTAAAGAAAGCTCTTTATGGACTCCGTCAGTCTGGGCTATCATGGTACATGAAATTGACAAAGAAACTACAGAATATGGGTCTAAGTGCAGTACAACAGGATCCTTGTGTATTCACTAAGCGAGAAGGCAACGACATTGTTTTGATGACAATATATGTAGATGATTTACTAATAGCGTCCAATAATAAGTTTCGTATAAAAGAAATAAAGGCTGCACTTGCGAATGATTTCGAAATGAAGGATTTGGGAATAGTAAGTAATTGTCTTGGCATCGAGTTTCATCAAAATTTAAGCGATCATCAAGTTTTTCTTTCACAAGAGAAGTATGCAAAAAGCATCATTGAAAAGTTCAATATGAAAGACTGTAAACCAGTGAAGACTCCCATAGAATTGAACATTAAGTTAACGAAACCAACAAAAATTGATGAAGGTGTTATGAAGATGTATCCTTATCAAAGCTTGATAGGAGCATTAATGTACTTAGCTGTTACAACTCGACCTGATATTGCGTTTGCTGTAAACTTTCTTAGCCAGTTCAATTCAAATTATAACGTGGAACATTGGAAAGCAGCAAAACGAATTCTAAGATACCTTAAAGGTACAAGCAACTATGGTCTATTGTATGAGAAAAACAATGAAGAATTGTATGGTTTGGTTGACGCTGATTGGGGCGCTGACTTAAACGATAGACGTTCATATTCAGGGTATGCGTTCATTATATCAGGAGCAGCGATATGTTGGGAAGCTCGAAAGCAACGTACAGTAGCGCTTTCAAGCACTGAATCAGAATATATGGCCATATCTGAAAAAAGAAGCGTTATATCTAAAGGCAATCCTTGATGATGTTGGCATTACAAGTAAGACAATTGAAATCTTTAATGATAATCAAAGCGCTCAAAAATTAACGGAAAGCTTCAGGTATCATCCACGGACAAAGCACATTGATATTCGTTATCACTTTATTCGCAGCAAGGTTAACGACGGCACTGTTAAAATCAAATATATGCCAACAGAAGAAATGCCCGCAGACGTCCTTACCAAAGGACTCACTACAGAAAAGCATGTTAATTGCCTACGGAAATTAGGAATGAAATATTAAAGTCATATTTTATACATAATAAAAGCACTTTAAGAGGGGGTGTTGTTATGTAAAGTACTGTTTAAATATTAATTGCCTGGCAACTCTGCCCTGTCATTATTCTATATTCCTTTTGTAATTATTATTCATTTTTAGTATAGTTAATAAAGCGAAGTAAAGAACATGTTAAAAATACATCGGACCGTGTTTCACTTTTGCTAAAAATATATAATACCATCTTTTTCTTGTCTCCATATAGAACTTTAGTATGGTCTTGTAAATTATGACACATTATATTAATTAGTATAATAAATAATATTGCAATTGTTAATATTTTAGATCATTGTATTCGGATAACTTTTATTTTCATTGGTATAAGTGCTTGATATAATATCATAATTTATGTTACTATGTTTCCGGCTCCAATAGTGGGTGTGTAATATCAAATTGGCGTTAAGAAGTTACTGCAGCTATTAAAACCAACTAAAATCGGTTATGGCTTATACAGACAGTAAAAGCGATTGTGCTAGAGCTTTCAGCTGAAAATCAAACCTCCACTACAACTACTAACGATCCTTTACCAAATTTCATTTTTATAAATTTATTTATAAACATTTGTTTCATATTTATTTTATTGAATATTTGCAATTGTTCATTCAATTATATTAAACAGTCTGAGAATCGAGGACTGAATCCTTCAAATAATCGACATTTTAAATTACCAAAAAAAAACTTAAATAACCATTTGGAAGAACAAGTAACAACACAGTTACCTATACGATATGTGTTAGCAATTCATATGTAGATATGGGTCCATCACACTTTTTATACTGCTGGAAATATTAAATTTGTAAAACCGGTATTTATGAAAATCTCTATCAACCTCTTTTATAAGTTACGATGTGCAATCATCACGAATACAGTAAATAAAGAACTTAGGTGCGAACGAATTCATAACTTATAAGGTGGGTTTCCATATACGCAACAGTTCATAAGTTCATATCCAGTAAAATTTGTCAATCCATAAGTGTGCAGAGTAACCCAATGATGGAAAATGGAATGGTAGTCAGTTTTTGCATAATCACAGTCCTGTAATCGTGTAATTGTCCTGCTTCAGTACACGAATTCTGCCGCGTAGATCAAAACAACTTCATAAGTAACTAATATATCCGTTAAATAAACAGTTTCCGTTAAACAGATTTAAACACAGTCCGGATATTTAATTTTCTAAAAAATAATTGTTTATAAAGTGAAATTAGGTTTTTAAAATTTTACTGACATTATGTGCTCATAATCCAAAATGTGCAACATGTAAGCACATCCAAACACCTTCCAATCTATAATATTAATTGCACTTCTTAGTTAAAATAACAACAGTAAATTATACGATCTCCTTAAGTTGATAGCACCATTGTAAAAGTTGTATGAATTTTATGCAAATTACGCTTCCACCAAGTGTTCTTCACTATTGGTTCCAATAAACAAATAGTGACGAATGCCCAGAAGTCTTCTTCTAACACAGTTTTCTTCTTAAAAATTAACACAGGATACTTAGCACAAGCTAAATTGGCAAATCATCAACTAATTTCAATAACAGACGATTTTTAAATGAACACCCAAATCCATCTTCCAAGCAATATAAACTTGGAGTTCTTCTGAGTCAATACATTGTAGAAAAACGGACCTAAGTCTTCGCATCTTATTTTATTCCAAATCTGAAGTACTAGCAGTCTTTTAATTTTAATTTCATATTTCAATTGCTTCCATTTGTTGTGCTTCTAATATAACCGGAAATGAAAATGATTTCATATTCAAATCACCCAAAATCACATGGCGTGGAATTTGTGATTTGTGATTCATTGTGGTACATCATTGTTGCAGCATTAAAATCGTATTGCCTTTACCTTAAAAATAATGAGAGTATAAAAACAAAATAAAAAAAAAACATTTAATAATGTGAACCTCTACATGTGGCCAAAGTTGTGGGTACTTTCATATTGCACAGTCCTAACCCCATTATAATTCCTGGTCTGGAAATGATTTGCATACCAATCAGAATGTAGCGCCATTCGAAATAGCACTCGTAGAATTAAACAAACCTGAAACGCTCCGGGAGTAGTCTAAAATTTGAATAAAATTAGAGTCGAAAGTGATTTAAAAGCCTGACTTTATTAAATATAAATTTTACCTCTTCATTAGATAATAGATAGTGTTACGTTCCACACAGTTATGTAGCTATAGTATTGTTCACATTCATAATCATAGATTATAACACCAGTCTATTTGGAATTATATAACCGAATGATTATCCATAGTCATTACAAATAAAAAATCACAAGAAATTTCTAGAAGTGGGCGTCCATAAACACAATACATTAAGAGAAAGTGTTAGTCAGGTTGTGCAGGGGAATGTGTATTTCAATTCTGTAGTCGCAAGAACGCACATGGACAGGATTCGGAATGTATTCACAATGTATTACGAAATTTCATATTATTAGAGTAACGATGAGGTGCTCTTGCCCAAAATAAAATGAAAGCATGTCGCCATGTTAATCCTTTAAAACCTTCCCATGGGTTGTGTTTGTGTGCAAGGTACTTATCTGATAAAAAATAGATAAATAGATAAAATAATAAGTTGCTTATTGGAAATCCAATATATGTGTATATATAGGTATATATGACATTTGGTATATGGTATATGATATTATGTGTATATGGCATAAGTCATATATACCTTTATATCTTTTAAGTAAGTAACTTACATTTTAGTCTCTCACCAATTGGTTATATTGGATGTCAGGTAGTAGTGATATCAGAATTAGAGTTCTTAATGGATATGTGACAATGATAGACGTATTTATATATGTCAATGAAGACATTAATAAAATAAAAATAATATTAACAGAAACTAATAATTTAAAAATTTAATAAGACATAAGCAAAAAAAGAAAACAAAATAAAAGTAACCAAAAAAAAATATAGAAAATTAAAAAAACATAGAAAATTAAAAAAAAAATTGAAAACATTAAAAAAAAATTAAAAAAATGTGAAAAAAAAATGTTTAGTCCTTATCGGAGTGAGACATCGATTCAGAAGAATTGGAATCGATCTCTAATTTCTTTACATTTGCATCATATTGATACAATTTCACATGCATGATATTATTTTTTACAATTATTCTTTTACATTTTGAGTTTCCACAAGAGCACCTCCTTTTTACCAGAAACGATAATTTTTTTAATATGTTGGCAATCCTTATCATATTGTTCTTAGTGTAACGGCCATATCGACTGCGAGTAAAATAAAGAACGCACTTTCCATAATTGCCTGCATATGTTAAAAAAAATGAAATCTATTTAATAAAATTCTTCAATCCATTTTAATTAACAAGTTACCCTGCCAAGTTATCCCATTTGGACGTATATGACGTCTACGTAGTGCGTCCCTCAGATCCCATTCTCGCACTTTCGAGGAAATATTATAAAGCTTTATATAGTACTTTCTGCCTCTGCCCTTGCGATCCTTGTTCTTACTCTTATGGTAACGAATCGTATGAGCTTTCTTTGTTTTTCTATGCCTTTTTCTCTTTTGGTATTCATGCTCATCTTCTTTAAGGTCAGTATCGATTTCTTTGAAATTAATTTCTTTGCCTGATTTAGTTAAATATTTTTTTATCATGTGTAGACATGGTGTTTTGTTCATTCGTTTTTCAGACAGCAGTTCCCAAAAAATACCACTAGGACGTGGTAAGCGTTGAGGAACTCGTATTATCTGTGTACGGGTTACAATTATATCAACTCCAATATCATAGGGCTTAAAAAGGATTGGAGATATTTCTTCGATAACTTGCATGTCGGACACAACGGTGACGATAATTGTTTTTGATGTGACCATACCACACTCAAGCAGTAGTCCAATATTTAGGTCGGTATAACCGTTTCCACGTCCAATACAGTAACCCTCGCGAGATACGACAACTGATCCAATTATTACCATATCTAGTTCAATTTTATTTTCCAATGTAATATCCGTATGATATTTGGGAGAATATTCCAAACGCAACGCATCCTTTAATGTTAAGTTCTTTTTATCGGATGGCAACACGATTTTCTCAAGAATAGTGGTTTCCGATTTAGAGGGCAAATATAAATTTTTTTTAGCTTTTAACACTTCCACCTTAGCATGGCGTAAGCTCTTTTCTACTTCAACGTAAATATTCTTGGCCTTTTTGAATTCATAAGTAGAAGTTAAAATTTTAGACGCTTTTTTATTAGAATGGAAATCCGGTACTCTATTGTATATTCTAGTGATTTCCGGACCAAAACTGTTTTTCTCAAGTTTCTTCCACATTTTTAGGCGGTATTGCCGCTTACTAATTAGCAATTTTGCATCGCGTTTAATTTTCTTATATTTTTCTTTTGACATTTTTAAGGCGATTCTTGGAACAAATGAAATATATTCAAATTTCCTTAGTGGTTTTTTGTCAAAACTGCCTTTTTTAAGTTAAGTCTGTTACACTAACACTAACGGCAAAAGTTAAAATTTTGTAGTTAAATGCAAAAACAAACGATTATTTTCTAATGGGATATAATATATCCCCCGAAAACTCAATTACTTTTCTGAATGCAATCTTCGCTAATAAACTTTTAATTGAGTTTCTTAAACTATATATCTTAAAAATCATTGGCTACGTCATTAAGTTTTTGAAAGGTTTGAAATTTGATCTCACATTACGTTTACATTACCTTAATTGACCTAACTTATGTATGTGCAGCAATTTTATATAATATCCATACGAAAATAACCCTAGTGAAATTTGGTAATTGTAAGTGTGAACATAGATAGCGTGAGTAAATAAGAGCGCAAAACAGCATCAACGTACCAAAAATTTCACATCCAGCTAAACCAAATGGGAGATTTTTTAGGATTTTTTGCACTGCACACATTTAGCTATTTATCAACACGTATCGACACATCACTACATTATTGGCACAACTTAGAATTTCCCTCATTTAGAACACAACTTAGCCTAACTCGCAGACGACCTAAAAACTGTAAAAAGAGAATAATAAATAAATCATTTTACACACTCTCATTTGCACTGAAATGTTTTCAATTAGAGACAAATGTGTCGAAAACATAATCCGTAACCAAGAAAAAGAATCCCAAGAAGAGGAATTATTTCAAAATTTTAGACCGTAAGCGAGTTTGAGTATATTGAGGTAAAGTAAATTGAAATTTCCTAGAGATTTTTTTGCACTGCCCTACTCGAAATTCTGGTAAATACCAACATTCGCTGCCATACCCACATTATTTACTATTTCCCTCAATTTACCATCAATTTATTCGAACTCGCACACGGCCTGAAACTGAGTTATTGATTCAATAAAATTAGTGAAATTAAAGTTTAAACATTTTACAAATAAAATTTTTCAAATAACTTAAATTATTTAATTGGCCATAATAACCACTTTTGTATATCAAGCGCGGTTGGTGCTCCTTTAACTTGAGTTCTCTAACGGAGACACGATGTACTTATATACCTGTTTGCTTTAACTGCCATATTCAACACCTTTTTCGCTTCATGTCAATTTGCTTAATGAAATCAATGTCGTGTTTTGATTCGTACAAATTCGTACTGTTCGTGGTTGATTCGGATGCAATAGTTCTCGCCAACTCGCACAGGACCAAAAATCTTATGAAAAACTTTTGCTTTAAAAACTTCCATTGTTGATTCATCATTATACGATATCGTTCATGCTTGTGCACCATACAGACGGTTGACTTTTTGGTAAAAGTTCCTGTTTCACACACTACTATTTATCGTACGATTGGTTTCATCGAGAGAGACTTTGGAAACCAAAGATATCTTCTATAGCAGTTTCAATGAAGTGAGAGATATACCACAATTATCTGTCGTAAGGTAAAAATATATCCCCATTGCCGCCATTATCACTATCGAGAGCAAAGGATTCGTTTATTGGTTAGAGAGTTGAACGGTGAAGAATTCGACTGTCTCGTGTAATTTTAGCTTATTGGGCTTCAAATTTTTTATCCAACATATCAGTACCAATTATTACAAATTTTAACTTTACGAATGGACTTATTGCTCTGTGAAAATTCTTTTTCTATAGCGGAACATTAGATTTAAAATATTTTTAATGGTACCTAATCCAGTGTTTGATGCAGTGCTCACATATTGAAAAAGAATTTATTTCCTGATATCAATTAAAAAAAATAAGAAACTCATATTTCTGCGACTTACAGTTAACCTACTTTCGTAATTAACTTCGGAAGTATTCAGCTTTGATGTTTCTCATACAAAATCCACACAGTAATGTGATGTTCGCTAAACAAATTTGATATTAAAAATTGGTTTAAGTATTGCATAGAATTTCTGTTTGAGCGAAACAATGGTCACATCTTATAGATCAAACCAGCCAAAGAGACGTACAGACATAAAACTCAATAATAAAGATATAGAAAACTATTTTTAATGATAAGTGATGCAATTTATCGGTGGTTCGAAGAACTAAAGATTAGAGATATGGACAGCTTTATAAGGAAGAATTGAATTCCTTCTTTGCTATGCAAATATATGTATACGTACATACATTTTTTCCGACAGGCTGCCCTACTTAGCACTATCTAATCTCAGAGTAATTACTAACCGCACGTGGCGGTATGCAGATCTTAGATCAGTCATTGAATAATCATGAAGCTTATGAGGAATACACAAATTAGTCTGTGAGATGGGTGCGACTCTGCAGAAACCCCCCAGCTATCAAAGAGTAAAAGTGCCCAGATGTACTGCCTCGGAAAAGGCTCAACATAATAACAAATATTAATTACCAAATAGAAAAAGGTGTTCTTGAAAAATATTATATTTATTATAATTAATTACAAAATGTAAAATTGGAGAATATTATAATATTTTATTTACACTTACTATTATCAGACATCATTAACATTTATTTTGTATAGCACATTATGTATGAAACAATATACAAAATAGTTAAGAGAATAAAATATCAGGATTTAGTTAAAATTCTTTTACATATTGAATTAAGTATCTGTATATTAAAATAATATATATTTATTATAAATGAATAAAATCATTATATATCTATAAATATATTAAAGACAACAATAAATCAATAAAATTTAATAGTTTTTACTAAAAATTACGTGGCGCCAATTTTGTTTTAAAATTATAATCCATAAAACCATAACTTTATTTCCATATTTTCCTTTAATTTTTATATCAATAGAAGTAATATAAAAAGTTTCATAATAACTTAATTATTTATTAAGTGAAAAACAATAAATTGAAAGAAATGTTTGTCTTATTAGTTATCGCATTATTTATAAAATTTAAATTTGCAGTCCACATTATTGTGGATCATTGTGATGCAATAAGAAAATCCGATTACTTCATGCTGATTACTTTGTAAATTAGTATTTACAATAGCTGCGTTTAAGCAAACAATGATTTAGGTTATTTTTGCTGAAACGATACGGATCACGTATGAAAATAATTGACAACGCATGCTGTGTTTGCTTACTACATTTTTTTGTGATTTGTGTGAATAATTTTGGAGCTAAATGAATAAGTGAGCAAATTTTGAATATAAAAAATCTGAAAAATAGAAAAAAATAAAATAAAATCTGTTGAAATGTCTGAACTATTAAATGTAAGTTTTTATCACGTTTATTTATTTTTCAATCACGTTAAATACCAATTACCGAATTATCGAACTAGGGGAATAGCTAGATATACTTCTAATATATGTATTAAAATAAGTTTTCAGTTATTCTAGTATTAGTAGTAGTAGTTCAATAGCTTTGTTTTTGAAATCAATTGTGTGACTAATTGGTTAATGACTATATTCAATAATAAAAATAAAAAATTTAAAGGTCCATCCACACTAAAGCGAATTCTTGCGAACGAACGAACATTCGCAAAAGTTCGTGGTACCTGCAAAAATTCGTTCGTTCGCAACATTTTGAATATTAAACATCTTAAATAGGCTATATTTATTTCCATTATGTCGAAATTACACATTTTTGTTGAAGTTTAAACATACTGTTGTGTCGACGAGTGTTTTATTGAAATTTGAAAACATAATCAATACTTTCTTTATCATTTTTATAAAAAATTAAAAAAAAAATTAGTATGTGCATACAATAATTAGTAAACATATGTTGGTGAAATAAATCAACTATAATCTTTCATATACAGTCAAACTTCCGTAACTCGAAGTCCAATTTTGCAAAGAAAAGGTTCGACTTATGGAAACTTCGAGTTAGAGAGATTTTTTATATTTTTTATGAAAGAAACTAGAAATACATTTTAAGATATTTATTTATTTGCAATCAAATAAAACACAGAAGTTAAGGTAAATTAAAATAATCAGAAATTAGGGTTAGGGACTTTAATTTTTTTCTTATTTTCAGTCAAAAGATTTTTTACCTTATTCATACTCTTAATGTGATCATCAGTTGTAGTATCATTCGTTTGTACAAATTCAGAATTTTGAATGAGTCATTCATTCTTGGAACGCTGATGAACAATTATATCCACCGAACCCTCATCATCACTTTCCGTTGCGCTTAGAATTGGATCCAGTAATTTAGAGCTGTAGTGCTCAAAAATATTCATCTGTAGGAAAACTTGACGTACAAATTTCGTTGTCAGGCTTTAAACCACGCTGCCAGCGACAGGCATTTGCACAAAGAAGCAACATAAGAAAAGAAAAATTAAACATTTGATTTGGAAAAAAGGACTTTTCCTAACACCAAAACGGATTAATATTTAAAACAAAAATTCAACTTATAGAATGCACTTTGCCACATTTCTATTGGCACGTGACAATATTTTTATTCGAGTTATAGAGAAATTCAAGTTATAGAAGTTCGAGTTATGGAAGCAGGATTATATGTAAATTGCTCTCTAAACCCTGGGTGCACTGTTTTTATTCGAGTTATAGAAAATTCCAGTTATAGAAGTTCGAGTTAAGAAAGTTTAACTGTATTTTTTATTGAAAATTTTATTTATATGAATATTATGAGATATGTTTAAAAATGCAAATCACAAACATATTTACAACCGTGTGTGAGTTCGAGTAAATTGAGGTGAAGGAAATTGAAATATCTTAGGGATTTTATGCACTGCACTTATGTAAATATTTATTTATTTAGTGCACTTATTTATTATTTTTATTTAAAAGTTTTCAAAGTTATTTATTTATTTCTTAAACATCTTATAAAACTTTCATAATGATAACATATCTAATTTAACTAATTTTTATCTAATTTACCCTACTCAAAATTCTGGTAATCACCAACATTCGTTACCATACGGACATAATTTACTATTTCCCTCAATTTATCATCAATTTACTCGAACTCGCACACGGCCTACGTATATATATCATTAATATTTTTTGGTATTTAAAAGTTTACATCTTTCATATTTAAAAAAATCTATCAATAATAATAATATTTTGTTTTTTACTTATGAATTTTAATAAGTAAGTATTATATATATTAAAATATTTAAATCAATTACCTGAATTTTTGGTTATTCAATTATTTTTAATAAAACTTCAACTCTAGTTGATAAAAATGTGTGGATACCATTTCGTAACCGCTGTACTTAATTTGTGTGTGGAACTTATATATTTGCCGTGACTGCGGTTCTTGTTTGAGTTTTTGTTTTTGTTTGATTAGTTCTCTCGTGGAATTTGACAGCGTTGGTTGTGTTGTGGGTGATAGTCGAAGAGTCGAGGCGCTAAAATTAATTGTCAAAATTAGTAATAGTTAACAGAAGTGAGTAAATTAATGAAAGAAAGTTGCCAAGTTTTGTTTGATTGAAGTAAATTACGCAAAAAAGTGAAAGTTTCGATAATTAACTATAAACTGTGGACACTACTTTGAAACATAAAAATTCTTCCTATTTGTAATTTTGCTATTGTAACGGCTTAACAAAACTTTTTTGATTTGTTGTTGTTGTTTTTGTTGTTTTTGTTGTTTCTGTGTCAATTTCAATGTCTTTCATGAGTTCTTCTTTTCAAGTTTGTTTATAAACGCGTACGCCACTCGTACCGCCCGCCGCAGTTCTTTGCTTCCACATCGAGTGCCGTGTCTTGTGCATTGTGCATTGTGCGTGCTGTGTGTCAAATCTAAAAATCAAAACAAAAATTAAAAACAAAAAAAAATCAAAACGAATTTTTGACAATATTTTTGCTTGCGGGTTTTGTTGTACGTTCGTTGGTCAACCATGGATTCCGTTAGTGCGAATTTCGAAGAGCTGCGTCAGAACGAAATCACTGCTGTACCTCGCTATGGACTCAAATTAAAATTCGATCACGTTTGGCCGGAGAAGCGCAATCAGAACATTCGACCATCCATGAAACAAACTTGGCCACTTATGCCGCTGGTCTGGAGGTAAGTTTTGTTTGTGTCATTTTCGGTTAATCCAAAATGGGTTGAGGTTGTGTTCGGACACTGGAGATAAGAAACTTTTTAACCAAACGAGTTGATAAATTTGTTTGAAATTCTTAAAATTCCCTTGCCACAATGGATTTGGAATTTAACAACTTAATCCTTTTAAAATTGTTGTCCCTTAACATTGCTTTCTCCACTGACGTCATCACTTGTGTGTGGATGACTACAGTTCTGCATTAAAAATCAAATTTCAATTGAATTGGAATATAATTGTCCAATTTTTTCTACACCTAAATGATGTCAGTTTGAATTTAAGTACATTTTTCTTCTCCTACGGTTAGGTACTTTCAGGAAGAGGTAAATATGTATATATTCTTCATTCATTAGAAGAATCAGGAAGCAACCATTTTACTTTGTTCCAGCTATTCCCTAATAGATAGCTACAAAATCTCTAGCTGGGATACAAATTTTCATAAATCATTACTATTAATGATATCAGAAATATTAGAAGATTTGATATAGAAGATTTTCACTCAGGCATGGCATATCATATGTTTTATCATCAATATGATATATATCATATGATGAATATGGCATATGGTAGTTTAATTAATGAACAAATGAAGAAGTAAAATCGGTGCACCAACGCCATTTTTTCTGTTGTTATTGTAGTAGTATTGTTATTGTAGCCCGCAAGGATCTATAAAGCAGATCATATCAAAGGAATTATAAAGATGTTAGGGTTAGGATGTTAGCACTTCCAAAAAAAACTACACACTATTTCTGATCACGTATTTTGGTAAAACTGATTTTTTAATATCGTTTTTGTTACATTAAATGTTGGGAAAAACGAGCAACACTTGTGGCTTTGGGTCTTATACCTTGTGGTTTCACATCTATTATATATTACCTATATTATGTTAGATTAGCGTGTGGAGTTTTGTTAGAGGGTGTTAATGATATATGAAACTGCAACTGTTCCCAATGAAACAGTACTATTACTGTAGTAGATCTGTTGAACTGGCACAAATAAATGTTTTTTCACTTGTCTGAAAAAAGTCAGAATTCTAAGTGGAGTCGGACTTATGTGTTATCATGATCAGAAAGTTACAATAGTTAAAGAACACTAAATGTAGCCTGGTATTTCTATTACTAAAAACTAAAAGATCCACTAAAAAATAGTTTTCTTCTTATCAAAATTAAATGCGATACTGATATAGTCTTTGTAGCTAATCAACTTTAGTATTTTGAAAATAAAGTGACTTTTTTATAGCCATTTAATAGTTTACTTTTATCTTAATTATATAAACTCTTATAATTGGATCATTATTGTTGTTGTTGTAGAAGTCTGACTTGACATCCTAGTCGCATTGATTTTTTTAATTATGAAACTCGAAAAGAAGTGGTTAGTTTGACTTAAGTTGTCGATATGAATAAGTAGTTTCTAATAGTGAATATTATCGTTATTCGAACCCATTGTATATAGCTCACCTGCTGTTGTTGTGTCAATTTATTACTGGTTTTTAACGACAAATTTTAATATTGAACACCAGACAATATTAATATCCATGTTTCTAGACAGATACTATAAAGTACTGTACTACTTTGTAATTGAAATCATCTTATAACACGGAAAGACATAGCAAAAAAAGTTTATAACAAAAAAGTAAGCTTCATTTATAATTACGAATTATTTCCATCACTAGTTTTTACCATATATATATATAAACATAATATTATTGCTTTAAAGTATGTAGAGATAAAGTTCACTTAAATAAAAGCTAATCGAATTTGGCCAGGATTGAATTCGTTAAGTGTGCTGAAATCAAAAATATTAGACTTAAGATTAGGTTGAATTAATATGGGAACCACTCTAAGTGATTAACTCACGTAGAGTTAATAGTCAATCCATTGTGATACCACTACTTAACCTAAGACCTTAACTGTTAGTTAATTATTTCAGGGTCCTAATAAAGCACAGGATGTTCTTAATCTTAACGGTGGATATTACTGTTAGTGAAATTAAGACATAATTGACGAAGAAGTTTATTTTGCTTGTGGCTAAAATAGGAAAGTTGCATAAGATGTATTCCACTATGTTTTCTTTAGATATTCCATTAATATTATTATTATTATTGACATATTCAGATATAACATTTATAAGCTTAGTCTCAACACAATAGATTTCCAATTACTACGATCGCGTGCTATTGCTCTTAACTCACTAAATGATTTGCTCGTTTTTCTTTACTGATGGTTCTCCATGTTGTTCTCCATCTTGTCCTCAGCCGTCTGCGATTTCTTCTTCCCTGCGAATTCCACACGAGTGCAGCATGAACAATTTCGGTGTTGGCTTGCGGGGAGTATGCTCCAGCGAAATGTATTTCTGAATTATTTCCTTATCAATTGACTGTTGGTTAGTTTCTGTCATGAGGTGTTCAATGCTAATAGTTCGCGGCCACCATATTCTTAAAATCTGACGCAGACATCTATTTACAAACGTTTGCAACTTATGAGTGTTATCTGTAGTCACCAAGTAGCAAGTCTCAGATTCATACAGCAAAACAGATTTGACACAGGCGTTGAAAATTTGGATTTTTGTTTTAAGATGGATATTAGAAGATTTCCAAATATTTTTAAGATTGGCGAAAGCCTCCTTGGCTTAACGACTCCGTTTAGAAACATTAATTAAGGCTCCACCATCCGTTATGACGGTACCATACTACCAAGCAGTGACGACGCGTGCCCTATTTGGAAGGGTGTGCGGCTCTTCTTTAATGTTTTTTTTACATGTACCACTTAAATTAAAATATATGAGATGTTTTATTAATAATAACCATATTATATTAGGCAACAATATATTCGCAATATTATATTAACAATTCATTAACAAAATAACATATTAAACAAATTAAATTAATAATTTATATATAAATTTAATATTATATCAATATGGAAGAAACAAAACATTTCACATAATTCTCGTAACATCAAACCAACTTTTTTCAAACAAAAGAGTTTGTACTTAGAAACATACATGTTTGTGCAGTGATCAAACAAAATCGAAACCACTTGCAATGTGCGCACAAGTACCCCGCACCATAAGAACAGAAATTCGTGGGTGCTGCTGTTAAAAGGGGAGAGACGAAATGTGATAGAAATGTATGGTGAGATGAGCTGCAAACTTCAGCAGCTCATGCAACTACTTTGGCAAATCATAATGTTGGATTCGTATGCATGCAGTTGATATTCGAATAGAACAGAAAATTACTCTCATACAATTCTCACTATATAAATCTCTATCTCTGATATTACGAACGGGAGCACACGCACATTATTTTGTTCATATGCAACGTATGAATGTGCTGCCAACTTCTTTGCACACAAAGGGGAGAGACGAAATAAAATAGAAATGTTCTGTGATTTGAGCTGCAAATATATGAGCACACCTAACAAGTATAGCAGCAAAGAGTATATATACTCTATGATAGCAGCTAACAGAAGCAAATTGATTGAGTTTTCATAGACAATTATATTTAATTGTTTTTGCTAAAACTTTAAAAAATATATATGTATATGGAAATGTAATAATTAATAATAATTCTTGATGTGAAGATACCTAATAAATTTATATACCTATGTTCTTTGACATTTTGCAAATTATGTTAGGGTGTTCACCGCACACCTCCGCACCTTAGAGCAATCGTCACTGCTACCAAGGTATTCAAATTGAGTGATATCTTCAATGTTTATACCATTTATATCAAATTGAGTGTTATGATTAGAGTTGGTGCGCATGGATTTGGTCTTCCTTTAATATAGGGAGAATTATTTTAATTTGATAAGAACTTATCGGTCAGAATTTCTAATACTTGTTTACGATATAAGTATCTTGTTTTTTGTTGTTAACATTAGTTTTGCACTTTTATTTCAACAAGATTTGACAGCCACAGTAAGTTTGTTTGTAACCAGTGTCATTCTATCACCTTTACCAAAAGTGAAACTTAGCGGAAGAGTTTGCAATTTATGACTCTGTTGTAAATCTACACGCTTTTGATTCTAGGTATTTAATATCGATCAGTATATACCGTAACTAGCTACCGTGCAAAGGCACCTTGCATATATACTTTAGATATTTTTTTCCTTTTGTCCAATAATCTATTATGAATAGATTCCATTTTATTGTGTCTATACTTTTATATGGGTTGTTGCGGCGAGATTGTTTAACTTAGAGTTTTTATATTTAGGACGTGTGTGAGTTAGGCTAAGTTGATGCTAAACCAAATGGGAGATTTTTTGGGATTTTTTGCACTGCACACATTTAGCCATTTATCAACACGTATCGACACATCACTACATTATCGACACATTTTAGAATTTCCCTCATTTAGAACGCAACTTAGCCTAATTCGCACACGACCTTAGTAGGCTTAATTATTGGAAGTACAGTTTAGACATAGACGTCCTATAAACATATTTTTTTGATTATATGAAAGTAACTGATATTCAGGGATATCAGTCGGGTGAAGAATATCTCTGAAGCTAAATTCTTTTGTCAAAAAGGCACATCTATAATTGACAAATGTTCCCTGTGGATAACTTTTTGCGGTAATAATATTTATCAAATTTTTTTTTTTGTTATATATTTGTGTCAATTTAACTCTGTTTGACTGAATACCTCTTTTAGCGTTACTGTAATAACATTGAACAAAGAATAATTATTTATTTTTATTTATTGTCAGTTATATTTTTCTATAATTGCTAGTATTTACAATTAATTGATCTTCAATTACTTACATTTTTACGTTAATTAATATATAAATCTTTATTGTTTATATTTTTTCGTACAGTATCTGTTTTTCCAGTATATCCGTATCTAATAAATAGAAATAAGTTTCCACATTAAATACAAAATTTATAACTTAACTATAACTAAACTAGCTTAACTTGAGTTTGAGACTTAAATTAAGTTTCTTTATGGATTTATCTGGCAAATTGCT